CCCAGATAAGGAAAAGTATCAGAGAGCAACCCATGTCTTTACTGTACCAATAAGATCAGGTGTCCAAGGCCAAAGATTGTCCATCAAGGACTTCTGTGCCCAACCCAGTGAGGCAGAGCAGGGAAATGGGACCAGGTCAGGCCATTATAAAATCTACTTAGCCTGAGAGAAAGGCGCAGTTGATTCTTAATCTATATGCTGTTCTTCCTCTTCTTCCAGCCCCTGAATCCATTAAATAACTGTGTAACCAAGACAGGAGATAGACCTCTGAAATGTAAACAAACCTATGTAGATAAAGAATGCTAAGATACAGACCAACACAGTCCCCTAAATAACCCTATTCTTAAAACAAAACTTGAATTGTGAATCTCCTGTATACATCATGCCTTATGCTGACCCCTTACCCAAATGGCCCTATAAAACCCCAGACCCTAAACCCTTAAGTGCACCTCCTTTTGGAGGTTGCCTGCACTCCCCTTTCTTCAAGTGTGTGTACATTTTGCCTTAAATGAAGACTTCTTACTGCTCAACTTACATTTTGTCTCTCCATTCTTCCAGTGGTAAGCTTCTTTGTCACTTTGCTTTTCATTCTATTTTCCAGACTTAAGCACAAGTCTTCACTCTGTTTCTGTTTTACTCCAGATAAGTAAGGAGGGGCTGCTGAGAGCTCCGATTTGGGCTTGCAAGTTCTCATCACCTGGGTGACCTAGACAGGACTGCAGCTATATGATCATGCTCTTTAGTAGCCTGCCTGAATATCTTCTTTCTTTGCCTTTGGGAAGTTCTCAGAACATAATTCACTCCATCCAGTGCTCTGCGGCTCCCCTAAATCCTGGGGTGGTAGGGACTTGTTCCCCATATCAGAGAGATTCATGTGTACGCTGGATGCCAGGTGACCCTGGCTTTAGGAGTTGGCAAGTCATTTGCCCAATGCCGAGCAGGAGTTTAATGAGCTTCCTTTTCCTCCCTCTGTTCTTTCTTGGTCTCTGTTACTTGCAAGGCAGCTCCCATTCCCTGCTTTTCTTGCCTTAATGAATTCCTTCATTACCTTTCACTCTGACTGGGAACTACATCTCTGAGCCAAATTCCTTTCCAACAGTTCCATACACATTTTAGGATTATTTTCTCTAGCTTTGGGCAGCAGGGCCATTTTAACAATATTAATTTTTCCTATTCATAAGCATGGGATATTTTTCTATTTGCTTGTGTTGTCTCAGTTTCTTTCATCACTGTTTTATAGTTTTCAAAGTACAGATCTTTCACTTACTTGGTTAGATTTATTCCTAGGTATGTTATTCTTTTTAATGCAATTGTTAATGGGATTGTTTTAATTTCTCTTTCTGCTAGTTCATTATTTGTATATAGAAATGCAACAGATTTCTGTATATTGATTTTATATTCTGCAACTTCACTAAATTCACTTATTCTAATAGTTTTTGGTTGAGTCTTTAAGGCTTTCTTTATACAGTATCATGTCTTTTGCAAAGTTACAATTTTACTCCTTCCTTACCAGGTTGGATACCTTTTATTTATTTTTCTTATCAAATGGCTGTGGCTAGGACTCCTAGTATTATGTTGAATAAAAGTCATGACAGGGAGCATCCTTGTCTTGCTGCTGATTTTAGAGGAGAACTTTCAGCTTTTCACCATTTAGTATGATGTTACCTGTGGGCTTGTTATATATGGCCTTTATTATGTTGAGAACATGCCTTCTGTACTCTATTTGTTTTGAGTGTTTTTATCATGAATAGTTATTAAACTCTATCAAATGCTTTATCTGCGTCTATTATAATGATCATATGGTTGTTATTCCTTTTGTTAATGTGATATATCATGTTGATTGATTTATAGATAGTGAACCATCCTTGCATCCCTGGAATAAATGGTGTTGAATGATCTTTTTAATGTATTTTTGAATTTGGCTTGCTAATATTTTGTTGAAGATTTTTGGATCTATGTTCTTCAGGGATATTGGCCTGCAGTTTTCTTTTTTGTAGTGTCTTTGGTTTTGGTACCAGGGTAATGCTGGCCTCATAGAACAAATTTGGAAGTTTTACTTCCTCTTCAATTTTTGGAACAGTTTGAGGAGACGAGGTATGAGCTCTTCTTAAAATGTTTGGTTTAATTTATCTGTGAAACCATCTGGTCCGAGACTTTTGTTTATTGATAGTTTTTTATTACAGATTCAGTTTCATTACTAGTAATCAGTCTGTTCAGACTTTCTATTTTTTCCTGGGTCAGTGTTGGAAGATTTTAGTTTTCTAGGAATTTATCCATTTCTTCTAAGTTGTTCAATGACAGGGAGCATCTGTATATTGATTTTATATTCTGCAACTTCACTGAATTTACAGTAATCTCTTATAATAGTTTGTATTACTGTGGTGTCAATTATAACTTCTCTTTCATTTCTGATTATATTTATTTGAGTCCTCTTTTTTTCTTGATGAGTTTAGCTAAAGATTTATCGATTTTGTTTCTTTTCAGAGAACCAGCTGTTAGTTTCATTGATATTTCATCCACAAAAAGTATTGCTTTTTAGTGTCTCATTTATTTCCTCTCTGATATTTGTTATTTTTTCTTTTACTAACTTTGGGCTTTTTCCTTTTTCCAACTCCTTTAGGTGTTGGGTTAGATTGTTTATTTGAGGTGTTTCTTGCTTCTTGAGGTGGGAATAAATGTCCCTCTTAGGACTGCTTTTTCTGCACCCCCCCAAATTTTGAACTGTTGTACTTCTATTTTCATTATTCTTCAAGTATATTTTTATTTCCTCTCTGATTTCTCTGATGACCCATTGGTTGTTTAGTGGCATGCTCTTTAGCTTCCCTCTGTTTGTTTTTTTTTTATGTTTT